TTCTTACCACCTTTGCATATATATTAATAAACATATTTCAAATAAGAAATCTGTTATATTACTTAATTATTCGTGTTTAAAGGTGTGTCACTCAATTAAAACAAGTTAAACGTATAGAACTACATGTTAAAACACATTAGCCTGATTTAAAAATATATATTTTGCTTGTTACTAAAACCTTTAACTAATATTTCCGTAATTCTCACTACTTACAGACATCGAAAAAAAGGAAAACGTTGTTAGACGCCGATGACGACGATGATAATTTTGAAGAGGAAGATTCGGGCTCCGATTTCGACGATGACGAGGATCCAGATCAAATAGAAGTACCCGGTGAGTCTTGGCATTTTGCATATCATTTTCGATGCTTTAAAGCTGAAGCCAAGGATTTTCGCCTGCAGTAAATGCTGAATGCTGAAAAGTGGGTTCATTTCGAAAGGGATTTGGCTGAAGAAGGAAAAGTGGATGGGTGGTGGCAGCAGCACGGCACTCGGTTCTCTATTGTTTAGACAACAATTTTATAGGTAGCCCCATTGTTGTGGGGGGAGTGAGGGCTCTGGGGGCTTTACTTTCATACAGTCTGTAGTTTTAGAGCCAAGTGGGAAGTTTACATAGTTTTTTGGCCTCCCTAACGGAGGGATTTTCGTTCAAAAATGGGAAAGAAGTTGGGGTAGTTCACTGAAAGGGTTGGGGGTTTTGAGCTGAAAGCAGGCAACTGGCTGTTTTGAGGTGGAGTTCCTTTGCCAAGGAATAACTTATTCAGTTGGCGTTTCAATCAACTATACAGAACAAGTAAAGTTTCCGAGCACATTCCAAATGACCAATGCTAGATAAATATTTCCCTTTAGTTCCTAAAATAGTTAGGATATCTCACTTAGCTTGTGGCAGACATTTTGCGTTTATTTCAAAGTTCTTTAGATTTTGACTTGGTTATATTGTATAAGTGAATAAAATCGTTATTCTAATAAAGTCGAAAGATTAAATATTGCATTACCTTTATTTGTAAGCCCACTTTGCGGTTATCTCAATAAATGAGAGACTTATTATAAATATAGTTAGACTGTTTTTTTGTTGTCCCATTTGAATTTGATATCTTAGGATAAAAAGAAGTGGGTTCTAAACCCAAACTTAACTATTGCTATTAGTTATTTTATGATGCTTAATTTTATAGACTTATTACCTTAATCAACAAGTACTAATTTCAATAATATTGGAATTTCTTACTAAGATATGATTAACTAAACAAAGGAATTTTGCATGGGCCCATGCCTTTATAGAACCTCCCTCAAACAAAGTCCTTCGTGGTGCCCCTAATGAGTTATGCCAACTTGGCTGGAAATCTTGTGCCCATCCTTTGAGGCCCACCCAAGCAATTGATTCGCTATCTAACCACCATTAATTAAAACGCCGCTTGCATTAGACCATTGAAACATTAATGAAATTACCCTGACCCATTCCGCCGGAGACAGATGCAGGTGCACACCTGTCCAGGAGTCCAAGGATGTCCTGTCCGGCTTCGAGCTCTGTTTGCCTCAGATCTGCTAGATATCGGTGTATATATATTTGTGTATATACAACGGCCTATATGGGAATAATATATGCGCACATATGTGCTTATATTTTCGTCATTGTGCGTCACTCATATAAGGCGAGGGTTCCTCCTCCTGCCTCCCAGCACATAGCCCCGATTATATGGCCTTATCCGGGAGGAGCCGGTGGCTCTGTGCGTCATTAACCGTGGACTGGACATCTCGCGGTAAATTATTAAACTCGATTGCCATTCCCCATCGGTCAGTCGTCAATAATCGAAGGGCAAGTTATGAAGTCCTTGAACAAAAGGAAGAACTGTAATAATATCGTCAATTATTAAGAAAGCAACTTGTAGTTCCTTTCGAGGGTTTCGCGAGTGTGAAAAGGGGAACGAGTTCCCTGACAGGTGTGTAGACAGTGAGAATAACAAATCCATATTGAATAATTGAGTTGTTAGTCGCAATTCACCGAGTTTTCAAATTGCTTTAATTTTGGGGAAAAACATAAGTTTTTTCCTTCCCTAAGAATAGTGATGAAATCAAAAAGCATATGATATGGTATACTATAGTATAAATGATCTATTTTAACTGTCTAGTTTAATTAGTTTAGATTTTTGATTTGATCGCTATTCCTAAGAACAGTTTTTTCTTGAATAAGGAAACAAAATTCAAAAGGAAATAAGAATCTTCAAGTGATTATAATCACTAGTAAACAAAAATCATAGTTTTTAAAATTTGATAAAGAACTAAATATGGGAAGGATTTTGGAGATTTACCAGACCATCTTATGTAAAATTCCCATGTTATTAATATGATTTTTTATTATTATATGCCATTATGATATTATATTGATATATGCTTAAGCTTTTTTTTTTTTATATCTGTGATTGCAGTACCAAGGAAATATTGTTCAATTCCCTTCATCATGTAATTATCTTGTATATGATTCCAAATTCAATTCCTATATTATTACTCTGATTTATTATCGTTATATCCTATTACGATATCCAAATTGATATAAACTAAGGAATTTGTGTGCTTTTGATAGCTGTGGTTGCAGTACCAAGGACATATTAAAGTTCAATTCCCTTCAACATATAATTATCATGTATATGATTCCAATTTCATATTGGTTATGTACATTTTGGCTTGGTCAATTGTTGATTCACATGTATGTACATTGTACACATGCACAATGCGTTTTTCGTGGTAATGCCTGGATCTGAGTCCTGGGCATTCCGTGTGGATTTGTTGCCATCATCTTGACCGCGACGTCCATCTGGTGGGCGTTCCGGGGAATTACAGGCATTAACGCATTACGATTTCCTTACACGTCCAGTATATATGGTCAGATGTATGTGCGCAAATCTATCTGTCCATGTGTTGTATGCCTATCTGCACACATATAATTATGATTATGTATCAGCCACATGACCTTTCCCCTCTCATGTGGCACATAGAAGCCTTGCACATACTTAGATCCAGCGTATGTACTTCTGTCTTTGCTCATTAATTAGATATTTACCTTAAATGAGGGTGGTGCCGTGCTCTGGGTTTGGGTATGTCTGCAATTTGTGCAGCACACATGGGGAATCTCAGAAGCCTTCGAAGCATATCAATTGGTGGGGGGTTAATGTGTATAAATTTCATCAAGTATTCGCACACAAAAAAAGGTTAAGTGGGGAATCACGTGCTTCTGGAAACAAGGTAGTGATTATAAGGTAGTAATGATTCAATTTAAGCTCACTGACCATGTGGTTTAAATAAAAGTATGGTAATGTAATTTGTTTTTTCTAGTTAAAGAGTAATATGTGAAAGGTATTTTTGATTTATAGGAATATTTGAAGTTCTTATTAAAAAATGGTAATATTTTCTAAACTTATTGAAAATAAAATAGGAAACTTAAGAACCTTGAAATATATTATAAAACCTATCAAAACTTTCCATATTTATATTTCTGTTTTTTCTTTTTAGGTGGTGGTCGCGATTTAAATACCGCTGTTACGTACGCCCAAAATATTCGAAGTGGGAGCGGAGTGGGCGTGGTTACCAAGGGTGTTACACCCATACCCATAAGTGTATCCAAAATTGTTAAGACCTTTAACAATATCAAGCCAATATCGTTGTTGCGGATCAACAACAATAATAATAACAACAACAACACCATAATTACCAGCGTTAACAGTAGCAACAACAGCAATAGCAACGGCAACAACAACACCAACACCAATACCGCTGTGCGAAAGATAATCACAACAGCAGCAGCAAAGCCAATAACAGGGGGCGGTACGCCAACGCTTGGAGGCGTGGCACTGGGCGGAAAGATCACAGCGATACCGATAAGAAAAGTATCACCACTAGAGAATAACCTAAACATTATGCCAAAGAAACTGAATAACGCAATAACGGGTAAGTTCAAGTTTTTTTTTGATGTAATACAAAACTACAGCACACAGGCGAAAGTGAAAAACGCAATAATATTTAGAGCAGTGTTGCCAATTCTCTAAAAAAAAAAGGACTTACTCAAATAGAACTAGTCAGAAATAGCTTAATCAAATGAGTTATGTATATCTATATCTATACATATCTCAAAACAATACAAAACATATATTTAAGCTTATTAAAAAAATAAATGAAAACTAGTATTATATTGTTGGGAACTTTGTACAGCGTTTCCAAAATAAATAAATTAGAAATTCTTTTTAACGGGAAACCATTGTTTTTAAACAAATTAATACCAAGTAAAAAAATACTTATATACTTAGGTATACTACTTACTATACTACATCTTTGAGAAATTAATAAAAGTTGGCAGCACTGGCTTTTTGGCTTTATAGAGATTGCTGTGATCACACTAATTAATGCTGCTTGTGTTGTTCTCTTCCTTTATCTTTCTCTATTTCTTCACTTAATCACACTGTATCTCTTGCTTTTCTTGATTTTCCCACGACTTATCTATCCCAACCAAAATATATATAATAATTCCCCCAAACCCATTTCGTATGGTTTATGTTCTGTTCTTTTGGAATTGGGAATCCGTTTTACCTATTTTTTTGTTTTGTTTTGTGGATATTTGTTTGTTTTGCTTCCTCCGATTTCCTCCTGGACATCGTGGTCCATTAGCCATGGGCAGTCCAGCGGCCAGGAGCAGCGGCAATGCTGGGACGACCGGGTCGTCTGGTGGTGGAGCCGTTGGGTCCACCAGCAGCTACTTGAACAGCCTCAGCACCAACGAACTGATGAACCTGGCCGCCTACGTGGCCGCCAAGGGTAGCAGCGCCCCACCGCCTCCGCCGCCGTCCACAGCCGCCAATTCGGTGAGGAGCTCGCCTCCGGGCGGCAATCCCAATCCCGGTGGCAATTTCTTTGGCGGAGCGGCGGCGTCCACCTCAGCCTCTGCCGCTAATTTCAATATGGCCGCGTCTTTATTGGCGCAGAGTAAGTCGATTAATGTTGGTAACAACCAAGAAAAAAAGCTCCTTTAGTTTCAAAACTAAAAAGTAATATTTGAGTGTGTGTGTATGCAAAGTGTGTGAGTTATGGATGTCTGTTGAGGGTATTCTTCTATATATTTAATAGGTCCAAAGGTAAGATAGTAGAGAGTCGTATCTTCAGATCTGTAGATCTGAAGGTTAGAAAACTTTTGTTATTAAGAAATACTTCCAATCAGGTCTTCATAGTAAAGTTTAGAAACTAAAAAAGCAGCTAAACAGTAGGCGTACGTCTTACATTTCGAGGGTTTACGTATCCAGACCTCAATCCGATAACATGCAGGAAGGTGAACACATCTAAAAAAAAAAAAAAAGAGAACAACGTAACGTACAATTTCAAAAAACCCAAAAAAAAAGAGTCAAAATTTCAAATTTGTAGTGGTACAAAAGTTGTAGTTTTTTTTTTTGTGATTTCGTTGCGATGGAGGAGGACAAAAGAGCTGAGCCAAAGCCACTGGGACCAGAGGTTACGAACCCAAGACCCACGCCTTCTCTGAGCCAGGCGAATTGGAAGCAAGTGCAGCGGGAGATCCACCTGAAGGTGGCCGAGGCCATGAAGGACTTCTACAGTATTCACTCGGAGGCGCTGCTGCGGGTGGAGCGCATTCTCGAGAGGGACCTGTTGCCCAAACTGGAGAGCAATGCTGGTGGAGATCTCAAGGAGATTGCGGATTTGGTGCGTCGACTATTGCTACGGGTGGAGAACCTGCAACCGGTCTTCAAACTCCAACTGGACGAGGGAACAAGAAAGCAGGCGGTGGTCGGCAAGCTACTCCAGGCGACGAGCGGCTTGCCGGTGGCGAGCCCATCTTCAGACGCAGATGAGAAGCCGGAGTTGCAGGGCACTACCGCTGTCACCGTTGCTGTCATCTTCCGGAATCCACGCTGCACCGGCCAGGCTGTCAGCGAAAGGGAGCTACCGGTGGTAAACGAACGCAGGCGTTGCAAGATACAGCGCAGAGATGGCGGTGCTCAGATCCCCGAATCCCAGGAAAGGCGCCTCTACAGGGAACGCGAGCGTGCCCAGTTCGAGGTCAACCTGGTGCTGCTCAAGAAGTCGCTATTCTCCCTGCACCTCAACCGCAACAATCGCTATTGGCCACGTTCCCGTCGCCCAATTACGGAGCCCAGAGGTCCCATCCATCGACCAATCGATCCAGCTCCGTTTTACGTCTGACCTACTGGAAGGAAATGTCTAGTTTTTTTCTTTCAATATTTCACCCGTTCTTAAGCTGATCGATTGGTAGCTGAGCTATAGTTCATGTATTGTTTTCTTGTAGTTCACCTCAGTTGAAAATACAAAAGGTTGGGAGGAATTTGATCGTCTATTAAAAATGTGGGGATCTGAGATTTTAGGATATACGTCCATTTTCAAGTTGTTTCAACTGAGAAAAGGGACTTTTTCTTTGTAGTACTATTACAATCTCGTTAGGTTTGTGTGAATGATTGTTGAAATATGGATTTCTATGTATGTCTGTTGGAGGAAATCTTGTATATTTTCAGTTAATGTTTCCATAAAGCAACATTTTGTAACTGATTTTATAAAGTGTGTTAAATCAGAGTGAGTGTTAAAAAATGTGGTACTCCCCAAACGAAACTTGTGTAGATTAAATAGATCCGTGGAATCCGTAGATTTCTTAGTCTCTAGTGATACTGAAAAGTAATGCCATCCTTGTTAATTACTAACTAACAAAGCTCTTTCTCTCTTTCTCCCACATCTGCCTCTGTTCCTCTGTCTCTTTCCAATCGATGTCTTCCCGCACCTACACCTCTCACTCACTCCGGTGTCATATATATATATATATACAAACTATATATCAACTAACCACATCATTATCCAAACAATCCGCCGCAAAAATCACAACCAACCCGAATACCTTTACCTTCCAGTGAGTTATGGGGGCGGAGTACCACCCATTCGGGCCATCAAGATGGCTGGAAATCCCGGCGGAGTCGGGAATAACCAAAAGCCACCGATTGCCACGACAGCAGCAAGCGGCGGAGGAGGAGTAGGAGGAGGATCTGCCGGCGGAGCAACTGCAGCCGGAGTGAAGGGCAACCTCTCCATGTTGGAGGCCGTGCAGAAGCTGATCGCCATGAATCCGCAATACCTGACCAGCGGCATACCGAACAATGTATTCCAGCTGCTCATGAATTCCATGCAACGAGCACCGCCGTCTCCGTCGCCCATGCAAAAGATGAATCCCAGCTCACACATGGTGACCAGTGGCGCTGCAGTAGCAGCAGCGGCGGCGGCGGCCCAAGCCTCGGCGGCCGCCTATGTCCAGCAGGAGGAGGATGAGGTCGACTACGAGGAGATGGGCGTGGCCGAGACCTATGCCGACTACTGGCCCGCTAAATGTAAGTGTCTCCCCACCTGCAGTGATTACTTATCCACTTAGGAGCATCGACTAACAAGCTGTTTTCCCCCATCCCACAGTGAAACTGGGCAAGAAGCATCCAGATGCCGTGGTGGAGACAGCCTCGCTGAGCTCTGTGGAGCCCTGCGATGTCTACTACAAGTTGTCCCTGCCCCACGAGACGATAAACAGCGGACATCTTAGTGCCCTGCAGCTGGAGTCCATTACGTACGCCTCCCAGGCGCACGATCACCTGCTTCCGGACGGAAGTCGGGCTGGTTTCCTGATCGGCGATGGCGCTGGTGTGGGCAAGGGTCGCACAATCGCCGGCATCATCTACGAGAACTATCTAAAGGGCCGCAAGAAGGCGCTGTGGATATCCGTGTCCAATGATCTCAAGTACGATGCCGAGCGGGATCTCAGCGACATCGGAGCCACGCGCATCGATGTCCATGCCCTCAACAAGGTGGGTAACTGGAGTATTCACTGCTCAGCAGCGCTCTAACTCATTGCATATCTTTGTATCTGCAGTTCAAGTACGCCAAGATCAGCTCTGATGTGAACAACAACTGCAAGCGCGGCGTGATCTTCAGCACGTATTCCGCGCTGATCGGAGAGTCCAACAATAAGACGGGCAAGTACCGATCGCGATTCCGCCAGCTGCTGCAATGGTGCGGTGAAGACTTCGAGGGTCTGATCATCTTCGACGAGTGTCACAAGGCCAAGAATCTGTGTCCCGTCGGCTCGGGCAAGCCGACAAAGACGGGTCAGACCGTGCTGGAGCTGCAGAATAAGTTGCCCAAGGCGCGAGTGGTCTACGCATCTGCAACAGGTGCCTCCGAGCCCAAGAACATGGCCTACATGGTGCGACTGGGTCTCTGGGGTCAGGGCACGGCCTTTGGCAACTTCAACGACTTTATCACCGCCGTGGAGAGACGGTAAGCTAATTTAATTAAAGTGTATTTAAATCCCTTACTTACATATTCCTGTCTATGTCTACTTTTAGCGGTGTGGGCGCCATGGAGATCGTGGCCATGGACATGAAACTACGCGGCATGTACATTGCCCGCCAACTGAGCTTCAAGGGCGTCAGCTTCAAGATCGAGGAGGTGCCGCTCTCCAAGGACTTTCGCAAGATCTACGATCAGTCCGTGGAGCTCTGGGTGGAGGCCATGCAGAAGTTCACCGAGGCGGCCGAACTGATCGATGCCGAGAGCCGCATGAAGAAGACAATGTGGGGCCAGTTCTGGTCCTCGCATCAGCGCTTTTTCAAGTACCTCTGCATCGCCGCCAAGGTGAACCATGCTGTGCTGGTGGCCCGCGAGTCCATAAAGTATGGCAAGTGTGTGGTCATCGGTCTGCAATCCACTGGCGAGGCGCGCACATTGGATCAGCTGGAGAAGGACGATGGCGAGCTCACCGACTTTGTATCTACGGCTAAGTAAGTGGTCTTGAACACCTCTCTTTTAAATAATTTTTAACAAAACTCTTCTCGTATTCGCAGGGGTGTCTTCCAGTCCTTCGTGGAGCGTCATTTCCCGGCACCCGATCGCAATCGCATCAACCGCATCCTTGGCCTCTACGACGAGACACCCTCCATCGCCGACTCCACGTCCAGCTTGGGTACTAATAGCAATAGCACAACAGCGGCCGCCAAGCGAAAGGGAAGTAATAACAATGACAACGGATCCTCCGCGGGTGGTAAGACCAAGAAGAAGAAGCGCAGTGGATCCTGGCAATATAGCGACAGCGACGACGAGGATACGGACAGGAAACGCAATCGGAAGCGGGACGCTGCTAACTCCAACAGCGACAGCGATGAGGCGAATAGTGATGAAGACTTCAGGAGCGACATGGATGACGAGGATGAGGACGATGAAGATCACGATGTGGACAGCGACCGACGGAGCGTGGCCAGCGATGCCAGTTCCGATTTCAATCCCTTCTTTAGCGGCAGCGATAGCGACATCGATCCCTGGGTGAATGCGCGCAGCAAGAAGTCCACCAAGAAGACCCAGAAGAAGACCAAGAAAAAGGTGAAGAAGGAGAAGGGCAAGAAGGAGGCCACCTCATCGGCGTCCAGTTCAGCTGCCACTGATCCCAGTGGCAGCGCGATGTCCGCCACTGTTGTCGCCGCTCTGAATGCGGCCAAAAGCCGCAAGTCGCAGCTCTCTACGCAGGACAAGATCCAGGATCTCCTGCAGAAGAAACAGGAGCTCAAGGGCACAGTTACGCCCGTGGGCGTGAATGGTGTCAAGCTGAACTACGGTCCCCCGCCCAAAGATGCAATCGAACGAGCCTGCACAATGAAAGAGGAGCTGTTGCGCAAGATCGAGCGCCTGGGCTCCCGACTGCCGCCAAACACCCTGGATCAACTGATCGACGAATTGGGTGGTCCGGACAACGTGGCCGAGATGACAGGTCGACGGGGTCGTGTAGTGCAAACCGATGACGGTAACATCCAATACGAGTCTAGAACCGAATCGGATGTTCCGCTGGAAACGCTGAACATCACGGAAAAGCAGCGTTTCATGGACGGCCAAAAGGATGTGGCGATCATCTCGGAGGCGGCATCCAGTGGTATTTCCCTGCAGAGTGATCGGAGGGTCTTCAATCAGCGGCGGCGTGTCCATATCACCTTGGAGTTGCCCTGGTCCGCCGACAGAGCCATCCAGCAGTTTGGTCGTACCCATCGATCCAATCAGGTGGGCTTAGTATAAATATATCCTTTGGTTTTCCGCATACTTATTAAATATTTTCGATCAGGTAAATGCGCCCGAGTACATCTTCCTCATCTCGGACTTGGCTGGTGAAAGGCGTTTCGCCTCCACTGTGGCCAAGCGTCTGGAATCGCTGGGAGCGCTCACCCACGGCGATCGCAGGGCCACGGAGACGCGCGATCTCTCCCAGTTTAATATTGACAACAAATACGGTCGCCAGGCTCTGGAGACGGTGATGCGCACCATAATGGGTTACGAGTCGCCGCTGGTGCCACCGCCCACGGATTACAGCGGCGAGTTCTTCAAGGACATCGCTGGAGCCCTGGTCGGTGTGGGCATCATTGTGAATAGCGAGAGCCATCCGGGTGTGCTGAGTCTGGACAAGGACTACAACAACATATCAAAGTTTCTCAATCGCATTCTCGGCTGTCCGGTGGACCTGCAGAATCGTTTGTTCAAGTACTTCACGGACACCATGACGGCAATCATCCAGCAGGCGAAGCGCGGCGGTCGCTTTGACCTGGGCATTGTGGGTAAGTGTTGATCAGTGAGTGCCTCATAAACCTGACAACTTGTAATCTTATATATAAACTTCTTTTTCAACAGATCTGGGAGCTGCCGGCGAGAATGTGACCCGCTGCCGACTCATTCGGTTTGTGCGCAAACATGCGACCGGAGTGGCGCCCACAGAGATGCACACGGTTCGAGTGGAGCGTGGCATGATCTGGCAGGAGGCCATCGATAAGTAAGTTAACTAATATGTCTGGGAATATGAACTTTGTATTAACCCGCATACCCTGCAGATATGCCGATTTGTTCAACGAGAACGAGGGCTTCTACCTGTCCCACCAGCTGCGCAACCAGAAGCGAACCGCCATCATGGTGGTGATCTTGGAGCACCAGCCTGCACGCAATAGCAGTTCGACGAGCAGCACCACCGACTCGGACGGGAGCAGCAAGAAAAAGAAGTCGCGCAGCAAAAAGGAGATCATGTGCCAGATCTACAGGCCGAACACCGGTCTCCAGGTGCGCCACGAGTCACTCTTCGAGCTGGAGAAGAAGTATCGCAAGGTGGCCAGCGAGGAGGCGGAGCCGCACTGGACGGAACAGTACGATGCGTCGGTGAACACCTGTTCGCACGCCTACTGGAACGGCAACTGCAGAAATGTCAGCCTGGGCAACGACTGTGAGGTGAGTAGTGGCTGCAGGAAGGGGGTTCTGTAATCTGCTTCTAAGCACTCATGTATTAAACTGTTTGGTAGGATTGCATTTAAGATATTTACATCTCTAACCGAACGTTTCTTTTTTGCATTTTCAGGTGGGATTGCGTCAGCGGTTGTACCATGTTTTGGCGGGCTCCGTGCTTTCCGTTTGGGGACGCGTGGAGCACATACTGAATACACGTTCCAATAGCAAGATGCAAGTGATACGCATGAAGACGACCGAGGGTGAGAAGATTGTGGGCACCCTGATACCCAAGTCCTGCTTCGAGCCATTGGTGGCCGATCTGCGCAGCGATTCGGAGAAGCAGGAGGAGTTCAACTACTAAGTGTGTAGGGGCACTGGAGATCTAGTTGTGTGATTTTGTTATGGCTACCCTTTTGAGACCGCTATCCCCCCGTATCTTCCAAATCAAGGCCAAGCAATATTGAATCCACAGCGGATGGTTAGGGAGCATGTGCAGCATGATAGGCTTTAACATAATATATATATATATATAAATATATAAATACTACTATAGATAAACTTAAATACGTAGCATATGTGTGAAAGGACATGAATTATAAGGCTCCCGGATAGCAGCAAACGCTTGAGAAACCAACTTTTTTTTTCCTAATTTTAAATAGACTTAACCATGTACAACCCAAACGCACGTACATACCATACCACCCCATCCATGATATAAATCAGACTTTGGCTCGTCATAGCTCATAAAGAACCACACTCTCATACAGACACCCGCGCAACGGAAAGATGATATGATGATATATAAAGAACGAAATGAAAACGCTTATAAATGGACTTTTCTCAATGATTTAAAGATTAATTTTAATTATGATTAAGTTAAACACAGCGAACCGCCACATTTTGTAAACTATTTATTATTATTACTATATATATATATACACGTTTTTTAAATTGTTTTTAATGTAACATTTTTAAGCACCTTTCGATGGCTGCAGCGCAGCGCAGCAAAGCGAAACCCCCGAGCTAAGGCATTTTTTTTAATCAAACAAAAATTGTAATTAGATATTTACTTGTAATGACTAATCTTAAGTTAAAACCAACAGACATTGAGAGGCATCTGAAGATAGGATAAGAGATCGCGGAATAAATATGTTAGATGGAAACTCATCTGAATTGTGCAAGCATACGTACAATTAATAAATATAAATGTGCGGATTAAACGAAAATTGTTCATTATTTATGGGGTTAAAGATGCTAATTTGCTAATTTAATTTTAATCATCTGCAGTAAAAATTAATTGCTGTTTAAGCGGTTACATTTTTGATAACGTAAAAATTCAGAAAAATTCGCATCCTGATTTTTTGAACAAAATTATTAGAAAATCCTAAGTCTGATTATTGAAAACATTGAAATTATTTTGAAATTTCTTATCAATTAATTTGAAAGTTTGAATTAGGCGGATCTATCGAAATCGGATTCTTGTAAGGAAGATAACGTATCGAAATTCGATTGAACAGTCGATAGGCCAACATATGGCCGCAGAACTCCCATCACTAACCGGCTGTTCTGTATTTTTGTTATTTCATAATATATTCTTAAGGGAAATCGCAATAAAATCGGCGAAATGCAGAGCACGAGGAGTACCCGCCTGCTGTCCCTGGCCAGGAGATTCGTCCACACCCGGACAGCAGCACAATCGGCCCGGGAATCTACAGGTTCTGGAGCGGAGAAGCCAAAAGGCACGGATTCCACTTCCGGATCGGAGCAAACCACGCATTTTGGCTTCCAGACGGTCAGGGAAAGTGAAAAGGAGCAAAAGGGTGAGTGCTTATCCTAAGCCCATGCATGGACAACGAAGACTTACCCTCTTCCCTTCGTCAGTGCACGAGGTCTTCGAACAGGTGGCCAACTCCTATGACATGATGAACGATGCCATGTCCCTGGGCATCCATCGCGTGTGGAAGGATGTGTTCGTGGAGCGACTGGGTCCCACCCATGGGATGCGCCTCCTGGACATGGCCGGCGGCACCGGGGACATCAGCTTCCGCTACCTGCGCTACCTGGCCAACCAGCCCAATCCCCAGCAGCGTGGCAGCCATGTCACCGTGTCGGACATTAACCAGCACATGCTGGACGTCGGCGAGGAGCGAGCCAAGCGGCTGGGGCTGACCTCCGACCGGCTGTCCAACTGCACCGTCGCCTGGCAGTGCGCCGATGCTGAGAAGCTGCCCTTCCAGGACGAGAGCTTCAGTGCCTACACCATTGCCTTTGGCATCAGGAACTGCACGCATGTGGACAAGGTACGGGAAACTCCACAGATGTACAGCTTCTATAAGCCCACAGCATGTTCTTAAAGGGGATAGAGCTTCTTAGTTAATTCTTTGATAACAAGTTCATCGGAAAGCTACATATGTCCTTCACAAGATATCACTAGTTTTAATAGCATTTCAACATATTAGTCGTTACTAAGAAATATTAAATTGAGCAAGCTGTATTCTAAAATGCAATGCTCTTCTAAAAATATAGAAGGTTAATGTTAGTTCTTAGCTATCAACAAACAAAATCAGTAGAATGCTAGATATATGTCCTTTACATAATAACACTAATTTTAAAAGCTATGCCATCATGTAAGTCGCTTTGCTACAAAATACCTTTAAAAAGATACACACTTAGGGTGCGTTGAAGGGCGTATGCTAAAGAAACTTTTAAACGATATTGTAAATTTCCTATTTTTACTTGATCATATATTGTTCGTTATTCAATAGTCACTAAAATTTTAAAAATTTTACAAATTTTTTAATATATACATGTATTATTCTTATGATCCTAAAATTGGTGCTAAACCAATGAATGGTTAAGATTTCCCAGCTTATAAGCAATAATATGATTAAAATCTTAATCTCAATGTTAAGTTTTTACTGACTCGACTAGTTTTTCTTAAGATGTAAATGCAAATAGGTATTGTATTAGTTAGTTGAGTTACTCCTAAATTAGAAATGGAAATACTTTTTCAACTAGAGTTTAATACAGACCTTATTATCACCCTTTTCAGGTTCTTTCCGAGGCGTATCGAGTGCTGCAGCCTGGCGGACGCTTCATGTGCCTGGAGTTCAGCCACCTGACCAACGAGACGATGCAGTGGCTGTACGACCAGTACTCCTTCCAGGTGATCCCGCCGATGGGCCAGCTGCTGGCTGGCCAGTGGCAGGCGTACCAGTACCTGGTGGAGAGCATCCGCCGGTTCCCCAAGCAGGAGCAGTTCAAGCGGATGATCGAGCAGGCGGGATTCGATCAGGTGACCTACGAGAACCTCACCTTCGGCGTCGTCAGCATTCATTCCGGCTTCAAGCTGTGAGATCCACGGATGATCTCCGTTGTTGGCGATTGAGAAACCCCCTTAGATGGGGCTTACCCTCTTTTGGTTTTTCGCTTTTCCCCATGCTGCTCACGTCGGGCAGGTCATAAAGCATCGAATTGAACAAGCTTTTCTGGCGGCTTTTATTTCTGTGTGTTTACATTTTGAGGTTTATGTGGCTCTTTGTCAAATATATGTATTACATGTGCCAAAAACCCAGCAACGAATTGATGACATCTCCGGCGGCAAGGCCTGGGAAAGACCTTGAGGATTGTGTGCCAGACCCACTTAGATGACCGGGCGATATGATAGCCAAAAAGCACCGAACTGTACCAGGTTTTGATTGAGTGGAACGATTGAAATTCCAAACACCCCGTGCGCAATTTCCAAAAAAAGTGAAAATCAATGTAGGCTAATCGAAAGTTCATTTACGTTTAGTGTGTGATATAATGCAGCACCAGCACTATGTATCTATGGGTTCAGTTCACCAGCAGATATATGTGGTGCAGGTGAAATTTATGCGTGTGAATGCTGAATTTTAACGAAAACCAAATAATAGCATTGAAATGCCATCAAAATAATTGACCGTGCCATGCTAATTGGTAATTGATGATTGTCGATGGTCTGCTTTGCTTTGCTTTTATTACAATTATGCTTTCACCCGGCGCCTGATTAGAGCGGATTCAATGGCCCCATCTTGGGCGGATTATGTAAGCGCACGACACTTTTGATTTGTATCTAAATTGCAGCCAAATCATAAACCTTCGACCATCTCCGGCAGCCGAAAGTGAAAAGAGTCCGGCGATAAAAAAACAAAAGAAGAAAAACATGCGGAACATGCAGGCCATTGAAAGCAAAAGTTTTGTGCGTGCGGAAACGTGCGGCGCATGCGTAGGTGGATTCCGGCCAAATGGGAACAGTGGAGCGGGGCCAGGCAACCTGCCAAATTAAGGTAAACATTATTGTTAACTTATTGAGTACAGTTTTATTAGTTGACGGGGAATCATTTCTATATTGTATCACCTTTTCTATGAATTGTATGGCTCTGAAATATGAATGGAAAAAAAACAAGATTTTCGAATCTTAATCTAATGTACATTGTTCATAAAATACATTGTACCTATAATGTTCTTTTGTTAAAAAAACTTTTAAAACAAATAAATATTTTAGGCTTAGGTTTTTTTACTTGAATGGCATTCAATTCGTAGAATACTTAAAAAATGTATTTTATTTTAATGATTTTTTAATAGTTGGCAGGCCAACGTATTACCTTTTCTATAAATTGTATGGCTATGAAATATGATTTTTTAAAAAACAGATTTACGTATCTTTATATAAAGAACTTAGTACACTAAATGCATAGTAATTTTAATGTTTTTTTGTTTAATTCAAACTTTTAAAACAAACAAATATTTAAGGTTTAGGTTTTTTTACTTGAAGTCCATTTCAATTCCCAGGATACCTAAAAAATGTAGTTTGTTTTAACGATCAGCTTAGAAACATTCTTTAATATTATAGTTTTTAGTATTAGCAGTTACTTAAATTATCTTTTATATATATTACCTATTAAACTATTTGAAAACTCATGTATCTAAAACTATAAATCAGTTGAGTAAGCTTCTTATGCACAGAAACAAATTTTAGTGGTGTCCCTGAATGTCTTTACTAGTTTAGAAAAATTTAACATTTTAACTATAAATTCTTGCAATTTTTTTTTCGTAAGTAAGGACTTTTTCTGTGGTTTGTTAAATGTTTTTTGCTAAATTTGCCTGTAAACTACATTTTATTTTGAATTTTTTTAAATTTAAAAATGTAATAAATTAAATAAAATGCATAGTTAAGAGATAAATATGAAGTATGAATTTTATTTATAAATCACTATAAAATTAGTTAATTTGTATTGTTGAAACCACAGTGCGTGGTCAGAGGGCTAAGCATAATGAGGTGACGCCTTCAATAAGTGGAGTGGGTGGTGGGTGGTGGGTGATGGGAGGAGGACTGGTGGATCGGTGGTGCCCAGTGGGTAGGCGATTCGGAGATGGCGGGGTCTTCGATTGCGGCAAGTGAAATGGCAGCGTAAAAGTCATAAACTGCCCAATTGCCGTACTCCATGCCGATGAGCAGCCATCTGCGGTGCATTGCTAGCACTCGAGCACCAATATTCGGCGATTGGTATGCACAGTGGGTGCTTTCCGACGACGGTGGCCACTCCACTGTGCCGCGATGTCCGCTTTATAAATACAACAGCGACCAAGGAAGTTCATTTCATTTTCTTGGCGGCGATCGCAGCAATCGGATTAAACGCGAAACGATATAACACACATATAGTAGTGCATCAACATCATCATCATCCACAGAAACAAGATGAATCTTTTGACCACTGCAAGGAGCCTCCATCTGCTGATGGTCTTGGCCGTAATCTTGATTGCCTCCAGAGCCGAGGCGGGTTTACGTTTGCGGCCCACCAGTCGATCGGCCACGCCCCCTGCCAGCACTACGCCCACCGTAACAGTGACCTCGGAGGAGGCGCCACCACAGGAAACCGTGGCGGAGAGTTCTTCCGTTGCCGCTGAAGTTACCGAACCGGAAACGGAAGTGGAGGTCACAACCGGAAAGCACAAACGCGGCATTCTGCATGGCCACGCCCACTTGCACGGCCAATGGCCCGCCCGTACATATGCCGCCCACTACGGCTACAGCCTGCAGTTGCCCGGAGGCAGTGCCTTCCTGGCCGCCGCTCCTCCACATCGCCACTTTGTCAAGTACGGCGGACATGGAGCGGTGAAGCCGCTTACCCTGGTTTCCGGTTCCGGTTTGGTGCCCGCTCTTGCTCCGGCTCCCGGCGCCCTGCTGCCCGCTGTGGGAGCAGCCCTGCCCGCCGGATTGCCCACTGGATTGCCCACTGGATTGCCCGTTGGATTGCCCACTGGTCTGCCCGCCGGAGTGGCCAGCGCCATTCCCGCCGGAGTGGCCACTGCCCTGAACACTGGCGTGGCCACCGCCTTGTCCACCGGCGTGGCCCCGCCCTCGTATGTCCTGCGACCCGGCAACGCCCTTGTGTCCTCGTACAGCGTCAACTATCCGCACCAGCACCTGCAGAAGCCAGTGGTCTTCCAGTCCGCCGTGAAGCCAGTGCACTTCCATGCTCCCGCCCACGCCCATGTGCACGCCGTGCAGGTGAGTCAGGCTATATAAGAATATATTAGAATATAGAGAATATCTTGTGTTCTTAGCGATCCTGAAAAGGCATTTCATCAGATACTTTTTTGTAATTTTGAGCAATATTTTTTTTTGGTAAAAAAAAGACCGTGTTCAATAACCACCCCTACCCAAAAGATTTTTTTCTTTTTTTTTAAATACATATTACTTAATATTGTAACATATCATGCTAGTATACAAGGCATTTCATTCATACCTACATACTTTCTTGGAAAAAAGGTTCTGGTCATTGGGTTTAAGGTTTATCACTCATACGTACTGTTGCCCTCGATCAAAAGTTTTTTTTAATCTATGTAAAGTAGATCTTAACCAATCATTGGTTTTTTGGTCTCCCTTTTTTTTAAATTATTCTAACAAATTTGGAACTATACTTTTAACTAAATTTAAACTGGCATACCTGGCGTATGAGTAATTGTTAATGAAATTTTCAGACTTAGTAAAATTTTTATATTTAAGAGTGAGAATATGATTCGATTTTTTGGTCCACCCTAATGCAAACATATGCATGTCTTAAGTTAAACAATGTTTTCTAACAGTTATAGACCCTGTTTCTAATATTTACTCGTATGTTTTCCTTATTGCAGCCAACTTATGTGCAGGCTTTTGCTCCAACGGCTCCCGCTGTGCCCGTCCAGCCTGTTCAGGCCATCCAGCCGATCCAACCGGTGCAACATCTTCAGCCGATCCATCCCATTCACCCTGTAACCCATCATTACCAGCCCGTTCAGCCCCTGCAGCCAGTCACCCCTGTCCAACCAGTTCAACCCCTGCAGCCAGTTACTCCAGTGCAACCCGTACAGCCCATTCAGCCCATCCAGCCCGTCCAGCCCACTGTGGCTTTTGGGGTTCCGGCACCACCAGCCGTTGATCTTCCCGTGATCCCCCAGTTCCCTCAGCAGCCGCCGTTCCCCCAGTTCCCCACCTTTAGCTTCCAGCCTGCCCAGCCAGCGGTGCCCGCCCAACCCGCTGTGCCCGCCCAGCCGGCCACTCCGGCTGCTCCCGAAGCCCCGGAAGTGCCCCAGATTCCGCAGATTCCTCAGATTCCGCAGATTCCGCAGATTCCTGCCATTCCGCAATTTCCTCAATTTCCGGGATTACCCCAGTTCCCCGGATTCGCCCAGTTCCCACCGATTCCCCAGTTCCCCCAGGCCCCGGCCAATCCGTCGGTTCCATCTGTGCCTGCAGTGCCAACGGTTCCGGCAGTTCCCACCTTCCCCAGTCCGCCCACCAGTCAGTTCTTCCCTTCTGCTCCCCAACCGCCGCTGCCCCAGCAACCACCCACTTTTGGCCAGCCGGAGCAACAGTTCCCCGGTGGAATTGTACCGCTACCGGGATCCACGCCCGTGCAGCCGGAATCGGGAACGGGAATAGCCTCGCCGCAGATTCCCCAGTCGCCGGAGGCGGAGAATCCCCCGGAGGTGGCACCCCAACGACCCCCCAGCCAGCAGCCATGGAAGCCGGTCTTCTATCAGCCACCCACCGAATCCGCGCCAGCTTCGCCCAATCGTCCTTCGATCACTCTGCAGCCGCCCTACGGAAGTTCGCCAGCTGAAGGTGAGATATAATCTACAGATACTGGTTTTCTACAAGAAGACTTCTAACGTTTAAATCAGCTCTTAAAACATCGTACTTCAGGTAAACTTCAAAATCCCCCTTCTTTACCAAAATTCAAATCTATTAAATGTTTTATTAATTATTTTTTCTAACTAAGGCATATCAAATCAATTAAAAATTTTATTCATTAATTTTTTTTAAATTTAGGCACACATATTTAAAACTATAAGAGATTATAAGCCCCCTTAAAAAGGTGCTTATAAGTATGCAGTGAAAAACAGCAGGAATATCTTTTTTGTTTAAAGAGTTTAGTTTACGGGTACATATAGAGGATAACAAAATGTAGGTATAAAGATTATACATTAATTCTCTATTTTATTTTAAATTCTTAAGATTTCGATCGTGTTAAATATATCTTAGAATTTTTTCACATACAAAAATAGTTTTTACTTTTTAAGCTTTCCTACATGTGTTCAAAAATACATTAGTCAGAATATTTTTATATTTATTAAAACCTCATTTGCTAACTCATATTTTGTCATCCTTATTCCGGCTACCTGCTACCCCTTCTTAAAATTATAAGAGATTAAATGTCCCTTAAAATTATAAGAGATTATAAGTCCCTTAAAGAGGTGCTGAAAAGTATGCAGTGGAAAACCGCAGGATTTTTTTCAGATTCAAAAATAGTTTTTACTTTTTAGGCTTCCCTACTAGTGTTTAAAAATACAATATTCAGAATATTTTTATATTTATTAAAACCCCATGTACTCACCCATTTTTTCCATTCCTCTCCAGGCTACCTGCCACCCGTGGGATCGCAGCCTTCGGCCCTGAGTTCGAGCAGTGCCGGAATCGGCAGCCAGGGCGGCATCTTCGACCAGCTGAGCGACGCGGAACTGGAGCACATCTTCGCCCAGGCCAACTTGGCGCAGCAGCAGCACCACCAGGCCCACAACTACCACCACTACTGATTGTAACACTAACTTAGGGATCTTGTTTAAATTTTTTTTGTTTTTTTTTTCACCGTTCTTTCATTTATATTTTACTTGTATTGTAAATTATGTTATTATTAAATAAGCTATTTATCAAAGACGAGGGAAAATTATCAAATTTGGACCCATATTTGGCATTGGTTTTATTAAAATCATGACATTATGGGGTTTTTGGGGAAAAATCAGAATAGGAGATTGGTTTAAAACATAATTTCTCAGTTGGTTATTTTTTTCAAGGTGTATTTAAAAACTTCCATCTAACGATTATTTTTATTATAGCAGCCAAAAAACTAAATTTTTACGGCGAAAAAATGGGATTCAGATTTTGGTCAAAAATACGAGATTCACATTTTAGTCAAAAATACAATTTTTCTACCCAGTTTTTCAATCGTAGTTTAGCCAAATAAAGGCGTACAGGAAAAATACCGACTGTTTTGAGTAGCTTGCTACCTATGCAAACGATCCCAATCATTTTTAGGAAAATTTATTTTTTGACCCATTTTCGCATTTTTTATAAGGGGGTACATCAGTTTTTTTTGGGATTCAGATTTTGGTCAAAAATACTCATTTTTTAGTGGTTTTTTAGATGTACATAGTTTAGCCAAATCAAGGCGTACAGCTAAAAGACCGACTGTTTTGAGTAGCTGCTACCTATGCTAACGATCCCAATCATTTTAAGGAAAATTTATTTTTTGACCAAATTTCGCATTTTTTGTAAGGGTTTGTATCGTCCTTTTTTTTCAAAAAATGTGAAAAGTTAAAAATTTTTAGGTTTTGATGCCAATCGATTGGAACTTAAGCAACGAGTTCAACGAGGTATGACATTCCTCGATTTGACGTTTATTTTCTTTGTAGCAGCCAAAAAATTGAATTTTTAGGTCGAAAAAAAGGATTCCTATTTTGGTCAAAAATACGAGATTGAGATTTTAGCCAAAAATTCGATTTTTCTATCCAGTTTTTCAATCGTAGTTTGGCCAAATTAAGGCGTACAGCAAAAAGACCGACTGTTTTAAATGCTAACGATCCCAATCATTTTTAGGAAAATTTATTTTTTGACCCATTTTCGCATTTTTTATAAGGGGGTACATCAGTTATTTTTGGAGTTCAGATTTTGGTCAAAAATACTCATTTTTTGTGGTTTTTTAGTCGTAGTTTAGTCAAATTAAGGCGTACAGCTAAAAGACCGACTGTTTTGGACAGCTTGCTACAAATGCTATCGATCCCCATCACTTTAAGGAACATTTATTTTTTGACCCATTTTCGCATTTTTTATAAGGGGGTACATCAGTTATTTTTGGAATTCAGATTTTGGGCAAAAATACTCATTTTTTTGTGGTTTTTCAGTCATAGTTTTGTCAAATTAAGGCGTACAGCTAAAAGACCGACTGTTTTGGACAGCTTGCTACAAATGCTATCGATCCCCATCACTTTAAGGAACATTTATTTTTTGACCCATTTTCGCATTTTTTATAAAGGGGTACATCAGTTATTTTTGGAATTCAGATTTTGGGCAAAAATACTCATTTTTTTGTGGTTTTTCAGTCATAGTTTTGTCAAATTAAGGCGTACAGCTAAAAGACCGACTGTTTTGGACAGCTTGCTACAAATGCTATCGATCCCCATCACTTTAAGGAACATTTATTTTTTGACCCATTTTCGCATTTTTTATAAGGGGGTACATCAGTTATTTTTGGAATTCAGATTTTGGGCAAAAATACTCATTTTTTTGTGGTTTTTCAGTCATAGTTTTGTCAAATTAAGGCGTACAGCTAAAAGACCGACTGTTTTGAGCAGCTTGCTACAAATGCTATCGATCCCTATCACTTTAAGGAACATTTATTTTTTGACCCATTTTCCCATTTTTTATAAGGGGGTACATCAGTTATTTTTGGAATTTAGATTTTGGTCAAATATACTCATTTTTTTGTGGTTTTTCAGTCATAGTTTTGTCAAATTAAGGCGTACAGCTAAAAGACCGACTGTTTTGGACAGCTTGCTACAAATGCTATCGATCCCCATCACTTTAAGGAACATTTATTTTTTGACCCATTTTCGCATTTTTTATGAGGGGGTACATCAGTTATTTTTGGAGTTCAGATTTTGGTCAAAAATACTCATTTTTTAGTGGTTTTTTAGTCGTAGTTTAGCCAAATCAAGGCGTAAAGCTAAACGACCGACTGATTTGAGTAGCTTGCTACATATTCTAACGATCTCAAACATTTTAAGGAAAATTTATTTTTTGACCAAATTTCGCATTTTTTTGTATGTATCGTCTTTTTTTTTTAAAAAATGTGAAAAGTTAAAAATTTTTAGGTTTTGATGTCAATCGATTGGAAATTAAGCAACGAGTTCAACGAGGTATGACATTCCTCGATTTGACGTTTATTTTCGATCCCAATCATTTTAAGGAAAATTTATTTTTTCGACCCATTTTCGCGTTTAGAATTTATGTGCTTACTTATATTGATTAGAATTTAAAATTCAAACGTGTTTTAAGTGCTCCATGGCTTTTTTTATTTCCTGAGCTTTTCCGGCGTGCTTTTCCCCAAGGGCTTTTCACCTTGAACTTGAAAGCTTTTGCCTTTTGGCTTTTCATTCATAAATTGCCAGCCGGTTCGGTGAATGAGTACGGTGGGTGGGAAAGTGGGCGGCTGGGTGGCGACAGTGGGCGGGGCACCTGGGAAAGCCGCATGCCACATGTTGCAGGCGCTCGGCTTTTTTCAGCTCAGTTGTTTGTTATCGTTGGCAGCGAACGCGCGGCGCTACGGACGAAAAATCGGTTCGGACCTATCCGACGATCTATATATTTTCGGATCCCCGGAACGATCTCACATTAAAGTGCGGCGAAGTTTTGTTTTTTTTGTGTGTTTTTTTTTTGCTGTGCCCTATCGAAGAAGTCTATATATAAATATTGTTTATTGCCCGTTAAATCGGTGGAAGAGCGGAGAGTTCCCTGGATGTCAATAGCGATCATGCGTACGTCCCGAAAAAATAAACAATTCCCTTTTGGTTTTTTGCGGCCCCGTCTTGTATATTTATCGATCCAGTTATAGATGTCAGATATCCCTCGAATCTGCTTTATCCGCAATGTTTGTGTGGCAGTTTAAAGCGAAACGAAATAATAAACCCGGCCAAGATATTGGCCATCTGTGGACATGCGAGTGTCGGGGATTTTGGATCGTTAGGTGGATATTATCCACGAGATAATGGGAATTTCCAAGAGGGAAATCGCGAAGATTTGTAAATAAAATGTGTGATTTTAGGGAATTCATTTCGCAGAGACTACACAGACTACGAGTGCATTTTGTGCTTATAAAACAGAACTTTATAATAATAATAAATTTGCAATTTAATACGGGAAGGAATTCTCCAAAACCACAGTTAAATTAAAATATTCCATAAATATAAGGCATCATATGAACACTTTTGTTGATTAAAAATTCTATATAAAATAAATAAATGTATAAACTAGTTATACATTAAAAAAGGATTGAGGACAGAGCTTCATAGGCAATATGTTTTCATTTAGAAACCTTAGGCCATAAAAGAACCATTCCTTTTTTGACAACAGTAAGAATGTTGCAGCGAAGTTTCCAAAGTTATATCCATAAAAAAGTGCAAAAATGATGAAAGGGCTGAATGTTTGACAAAGTTCAAAGGGCACGAGCAAGTTTTATAACTGAGTTTGTGCTTCAGGATACAACAAATTTTTTGAGAATAAAAACAAATGCATTTAGTAGAAGTTTTTTCAGGTGTGTTAAAAAAGTTTCTTGCAAAAAAACAAGGGAATTAAGAATTGAAAACAGTGTTAAAATTAATGATAAATTTGAGATATATATTTAAAGCTTTAAGGCAAGAAGTTAAGAAAGTTCAACTGACGAAATTGATAGAAACCAATCAAAATCTAGATGATTGACATGAATACAGTTTGACAGTTCGAAAATGTACCGAATCGCCGGGTCGAAAATGTATTTTTACCGAACCGATTTTCAATTAAAATTCTGTTCCAATTTGCATATTAATTTTGTGTTATTAAAATGTGCCGGCGCCCCAGTGACTGGATATTCGCGCCCTCCCACACCAGCAATATCATCCATTCTATTTCCAACTCTGTCGATGGGTCTGTGTTAAATTTTTGTAATAAAATGTCATTAAGTGTAAGTGCGTGGTGCCGTTTAGATTTATGAGGCCGAATGAATTGCAAATGTCTAGGCGAAGGGTACTGGTTCTGGTAACAAAAGGTGGTTCAGTGGGTGGGTTCGGGGTGTTATAGAATGATCCAGGGGGGTCCTTGTGGTTCCGGTGGCCAGGAAAATGGGCGCTGACCTGACAACCCTTGAAGCCCCAAAGTTCTGTTATTAGTTGTAACTGCTCTGGCAGCTTACACAAATCCGTTCAGTCCCCCTTCTATATGGCATAAAGCACCATGGCTACGGGAATTATTCGCATAGCCCCCATCCAAAAACCCACGAAAAACCAGTGGAATGTGTCAATTATGTGGCGCAGATTGTCTCCACATTTTTCCCCCTGGAATTCTATTACATTCCGCTCCGCGAATCCTTGTGGCGAAACTATTCGCTTAAGCGGCTTTGGGTAATTATTAGATTTTTGGTATTTACAATGAGCTTATCTGCCGAATTGCTTAACCAGGGCATTATTTAGGGGGAAAAAAAGCGGTTATATTTTAAATATTTAATATTCATTATTAAGTAATAGGATTATATTTAAAGCATGGCAGCTGTAGGTTTTTAAGCTTGCTTCTTACATTTTTAATCAATTGTAAAATGAGCTTATCTGGCGGATAGCTTAATCAGGGCATTGAAAAAATAGCAGTTTTATTTTAAATATTTAATATTAAATTTTAGGTAATACGGTTATATTTAAAGCTGGCAGCTGTAGGTTTTTTAAGCTTGTTTCTTACATTATTAATAATTTGTACAATGAGCTTATCTGCCGGATTGCTTTATTAGGGCATTATGTAGGGATTAAAATAATACCACTTCTATTTTAAATATTTATATTCATTATTATGCAATGGGATTATATTTAAAGGATGGCTGTAGGGTTTTAAGCTTGTTTCTTACATTTTTAATCAATTGTACAATGAGCTTATCTGCCGGATTGTTTAATAGGGGAATTATGTAACTTAAAAAAGTAGCAGTTCTATTTTAAATATTTAACATTCATTATTAGGTAATTGGATTATATTTAAAGTAGGCTGTAGGTTTTTAAGCTTGTTTCTTAAATTTATATTCAATTTCCCAAGGAGCTTTTCTGCCCGATTGCTTAATCAGGGAATTATGAAAGGATTTAACAAATAGCAGTTCTATTTTAAATATTAAATATTTCTTATTAGGTAATAGGACTAAATTTAAAGCATTGCAGCTGTAGGTTTTTAAGCTTGTTTCCTACATTTTTAATAAATTGTACAAATTACAATTATAATAATAACTGATAAATTACTTATTTCAAATCAGTTTATTAAGTCTTCAATATAAACCTACAAAAAACGAGTTAAAATTTTGAAAAACCACACACGTTTTAGCTTATCTTGGCTTTCGACCTTATAATTTAAACACCCATTAATTAAGGAAACCCAAACATTTCCTTCGCACAGAGGGGATTACGTCATGATTTCCGAAAAAGAATAAAAATATGAAACTCTAGTTAGCAAATGGCCCAATGTTAATTATAAATTTTAAAAGAACGCTCTTGTACCTTTCATAAGACATAATCCTAGTTACAAAGCTTAAGCCGCAGGAAAAACCTGACAATTGCCGGAGAAGCGGAAAAAACAAAATGGTAACTCAGGCACCCGAAAAAGTGAAAGTGTGCGATGCTGCCGCCCACTTACTCCTTTTTTTTTGTGCCGCCCCCAATTTTCCACGATTTTTCATGACCCCCACACATAGACACAAACACTATGGGAATATGTGTAAGTGGAAACCGGTCCAGCGATTTTCCACTTAAGAACTTGTCGCTAGAGGCCAAGTTCAACCCGAAAATATGGGGATATCTGGCCAGGGGGTTGGAATATGGGTCCGGAGTGATAATCCCCATACACCCGTTCGCACCCAACTCCGATAGTCCGCTTTTAGGTAATTTGAATACGGCCGGCAATCGTTATTTATGGGCCGGGGTTCTACAATTTCAGTTGGCCCGCGTGTGGGTGCACTGCAGCGGATCCATTATCATCTAGCCTTACACTCAAAAAATTTGTTTTTGTTTACTTTTAAAGCCAATTGAAAAAAACAGACTTATCTAGTTAACAAGAAGATTTTTCCACCACCTTTGCTAGTGCTAAAAACCTTTTGAAAATCCTTTTTATAATTAAAAATAAAGTATATTCAAATCTTTTGAACCAAATTATTTCCTTAATGTGTTATGAATCAAAGAAGTTAAATAACTTTTTTTAAATTTCAAATTAAAACAATATAAAAGACCTAATGCTTCATAGTATTTATCCCTATTCTATCATATAATTTTATACAGTTTTTTTCCGATAGCCCCAATATTCCAAAGCATCTGTGGTCTGTTAAACATAATTTTAAAATATGTTTATTAACATCTTCATTTAAACGTAAAATACATTTCAATAATTAAGAATAAAATATATTTTTTGAGTACACATTCAGACATGAATCAAAGAAATAAAATAAACTGTATTAAAATTTAAAAACAAGATAAAAGACCTAAAGTTTCATAGCACAAAGACCTGTTCTATCATAAAATGGTATATAATTTTTTCCAAGTGGTCCAATGTTCCGAAGCATCTGTGGGCATCCTCCCCATTCGGTTTCCATCCTTATCCGTATCATTAAACATAATTTTAAAACTTGTTAATAAAACATTTGAACGTAAAATACATTTGAATACTTTAGATTATATTATTTTCTGAAAATACATAACACAAAACACATAAAAAAAACTATATTGAAATTAAAAAAAAAAGATAAAAGTCGTAAAGCTTCATAGTATTCGATCAAAACATCACCATCAAATCATCATTTTTCCGAGTGGCCCAATATTCCGAACCATCTGTGGGCATCCTACCCATTCGGTTCCCCATCCGTATATGAATCCGTATCCGTATCATTATCCGGCCGTTGCTAATCGATGTCCAATGTCCAATTCCGATGATGTCCAGTGGGCCAATGAATTAAAGGCCCGCTATCAGGTTTCGGAGCATGGGTTCCCGGGTCCAGCGGTGCTTTTAAGTTGATCAACTAATCCATATAATTTTGTGGTGTTATTTTTGAGGCGTCGCATAATTGAATCGTCCATGGCGGCGGCAATGACAGTGCCCGCCATAAAGGTTATGCCTCATTAGGGTTCGCTCGGAAGTGGTTGTTCAGTGGTGTTCAGCCGTTAAGGCGTTAAGCCATCCTACTCAGAATCCAAAATGAAGACATGGACATGTGAAACGGCCTGAGTGATTGCCAAAAACAAAAACCCAAGAACAGGAGTTCTGGGAATCCCCAAAATCCCCCGATGGGCGGGGCCATAGAGCTGTTATATGATTGAAGTGCGAATGATTCGATTCCTTATGTGCGTGGCGAAACGAAATCCCAAGGGATCAGAGGTCCTGCAAAAGCACGCAACTCGCTAATGAAGTGTGAACACATTAAGCCCTCAAAGAAAGCGAAATAGCGGCCTATAAGAGTGGGGTTTTCTTTCATTGGTTTTGTCAGGGGAGGTAATAACTGAAAAGTTTTCACTTGAAAGAAACCATTTATGAAGTATCACAAATATCCATTAGATTATAATAAAGCACTCCATTTACCGCTGATTTTCTATGAATCTATTCATCTAATTGATTTTTCTTGGCCAATAATTGATTCCCAAAATAAACAAGTATCAACGAACTTTATAAGAGAATTATGTTAAGTCACTGTTCAAAGAAGTTTTCCTTGCCATTCGAAAAGTTTTCGCACCAAATAAGTTTTGGAAGTTTGGGCCAACTTGAATCATATATTCCAAGCTTGTCCATTTGAGAGTCTTTTTATCTGCGACTCAGCATAATGCAGGCAGAACTTATTGTTTTTTGTCATTTATAGGTTCATTACATTGCATGCACAATTTAATTAACTGACGAGTCAATTGAACGCTAAGTTTTAGTTAAATAAAAGTTTACAGAAGCAAAAAAGTCACGCAATTACTGCAGCTCCAATAAAATAACAGCATTTTGTTATTTAGATGCTATTATGCTAATTTGGTAATATATTATAGATGCATTTTTAAGTTATGTTTGTGGACAGCGCTTTTTCCAGTTATTTTCATCTATGAGTCATTGCAATTACGGATAGGAATGTTGATAAGCAATTACAAACTAAGATTTATTAAAAAAAATAAAATGAATGATGTCACGCTATTTTAAAAAGGTAAAAAGTAGGATCTATTCAAGAAAGAAATAAGTGTTATTTAAAAAAAATTACCCGAACTTTATTTAAATTTGTATGTACCTTGGAATAGAATAATATGTTACAATATGTTTTGGATTAATTGCTATATGGTGTACCATGCCGATATTGTCCGTGTGTGCAAGTTGGGTTCCGCTTAGTTGTTGTTGGACGAGTTGAACATCTTGAAAGCGCTGAATCCCATAAAGAGACCCACCAATACACCGCCAACGGCACATAGTGTGGGAACTAAGTCGGGGGTTTCCAACTGATTGGTCTGCTGACTCTGGTAATTTGGATGGGTGCCCGCAGGCCTCGGATTCGACGATGTGCTCCTCAAACTGCGATCGTAGTCGGCCCTCAATGTCCTATCTGAAAGGACTTCGTATGCGGCCCTGATCTTCTTGAAGTATTCCACCGTTCGGGGGTGATGGTTCTTATCCGGATGATATATGAGTGCCATTCGCCTGTACGCCTTCGTGATCACCTCCTCGGTGGCCTTTTGGTCCACTCCCAGAATCATATAGTGGTCTTCCTCCATTCTCGCTGATCGATATCTGGTAAAACAATCTTTTTAGTTGTAACAAAGTAAAATTGCAATTTACGCTAAACCAGACATCCGCAAAGCAACAATTGTTTTGTTTGTGGTTGTAGTACCTATCGATGTATTTCGATGATCTTCCAAACCAGTTCTCGAAACATCGCTTGAAAATAACAGGGGTATTCGCCTATAATCTTACTTAAAACAAACAATGTATTCCATTTTTAATATACAATTATAGAGTAGATTTCATTTATAATATAAAATTATACAGTATATTAAAAGTGAATAAATTATTCCCCTCGATATCACTTCATTTTACATATTATACTAAAATTACCTCACTAAAAATCGAATACATTAACTGCCAAAAAAAAAAGGTCATCTAATTAATATTATGCGTAGCTTTTTTGGCATGCCTTAATCTAGGTCAGAAAAAAGGGACAGAATTCAGACGGGGGTTTATTTTATGTTGGTTGGTAAAACAAACAGGAGTACAAGATAAAACAGCGGCATTTACGTATGTGTTGACGTGTGTCTGGGTGTGAGTGATGTGACCTCTGACCCTGCCAAGTGGAAAAATGAAAAATGGCTAGCGTAATTCCCTGATTGAAGCCTAACTGAGAAGGGCAGATAAAAAAAGGAAAGGCAAATAGAAGCAATAAGGCAAATCGGAAGAGTGGTACAGAGAGAGAAAAGGTATATACTGCACATAATGGGGAAAATAGCTAATCTCTCTAAATGTTTGTACTCACACTAGTTACATTTTTTTTGAGAATTTTTGGAGAAATCACTAGGGATTCTTGAAGTTTCCTACAAAGGTGCCAAAGGTATTCAAAGAATCTGTAGAACTTGCGGGTTCAAGACCTTGGGAATCTCTAAATAGGTTTGTACTCACACAAATTAAATTTTTTTTTTCCGATTTCTTGGAGAAATTACTAGAGGTTTTTGAAGTTTCCTACAAAGGTGCCAAAGGTATTCAAAGAATCTGTAGAACTTGCGGGTTCAAGACCTTGGGAATCTCTAAATAGGTTTGTACTCACACAAATTAAATTTTTTTTTTCCGATTTCTTGGAGAAATTACTAAACGTTTTTGAAGTTTCCTACAAAGGTGGCAAAAGTATTCAAAGAATCTGTAGAACTGGCGGGTTCAAAACCTTGGGTATTTTTTTAATGAATATTTATTGAGTAAATAGCAACTAATTTAAGGCCTAGCAACATTTTCTCGCTGTGCACCAAAAGCAGCCCCGAAACCGCTTAATTTTGCCAGGACTTCCCCCGTCTTCGTGTGTCACATGACCTATGACCCATCTGACCCATCTGACCCATCGGAGGCAAACGCATGGGCATTATCCATTTCGCATCGCATTTATTTCCATTTGCCTTCTGCTGTCAGCGGCAGTTCAAACAGCCAAAGCCGAACTATTGACAAATACCACCCACCATCCCTAATCATTAGGCTGGGAAAAGCTATGTATATCCAAAAAAAAAGCGATGAAATGATTAATTCCCATCGAGTAATTAAGTGTGGTAAACCCAAATGAATCTCTTGAATGGCATTGTCTAACATTGCCCCCCTAAAAAATAGAACTTTGTCAGGGATTTGCACGAAGTAGTCACTGTATATATATGATATATAGTATAGTAAACCCACTGCTTTTGGGCACTTGAGCAGTCTTTTTTGTTTATCATTGGCCTCTGTTTTTATAATTCTTTTATTTCAATTTTTTTTTTGTTCTACTTGCCCGCCCAGTCGGATTCTTGTTTACAACTTTGTTGTTAGCCCAAAAGTTTTTCTCGGTTTGTTCAGTTTTCGTTTTCGTTTTCCATTTTTGGTGGGTATAAAAATTCCATTCCAATACCGAAAATCGAACTCGGAATCTAAACAGTCGAAACGGCGCGGAGTGAATAAAACTTTTGGAATTTCTCAGCTGTTTTTAGTACATGTCGTAATGGGCAGAAAGCCCCTTATTCCCATCCCAGATCCATTTAATATGCTGGCCCAGCGATGTTTGTTTGCCAGATAAATCAGATGCCAATCGCCCCAGAGCGGGTGAAAAGCATTAAACAAACTATTTAGCTGTGCTCATTTTTTAGAATTCAATATTTTTTTAATAATACTTTTGACTACAAAGACGTTTTCCCAGGAAATTATGGAATTACTATAAGAACTTACGATTTTTTTTTATATTTTGACTACAAAGTTAGCTTTTACGTTAAGTATTATTATTTATAACATTTTTAATATGATATAAATCAGATGCCTATCGCCCAAGAGCGGGTGAAAACCCTTAAACAAACTATTTAGCTGTTCTCATTTTTTAGTTTTCAATATTTTTTTATTAATACTTTTGACTACAAAGGGGTTTTTCCAGGAAATTATTGAATTACTATAAGAACTTAAGTTTTTTTTTTATAAGTTAGCTATTACGTTGAGTATTATTATTTAAAATACTTAAAATATGATATAAATCAGATGCCTATCGCCTAAGAGCGGGTGAGAACCCTTAAACAAACTATTTAGCTGTTCTCATTTTTTAGTTTTCAACATTTCAAATATTTTTTAATAATACTTTAAATAATACTTTAGACTATAGTCTCGTCTTCCTATAGAAATGGTTCTTTTGAGGATATTATTGAACTATAAGAACTTAAATTTTTTTTTTATTTGACTACATAGTTACTTATTATGTTTAATATTATTATCGAATAAGCAACTCTGATTCATCAGATGATCTAATAGATATTGATCCGGTCGACAGGCAGAATCTCGTATAATAGACATCGGACATCGAACTGCCGACAATTTGTTTACTTAGCCGTCGAGCGCAATTGACTTCTATTTTCGTGAATTCCTATTAGGTTTTCGTTTGTTTTAATTGCTGCCCTGCCCGAGTCGAAAGAAACTGGAACTCTTGCCTCTTGGGGCTACTTTCGACCGATTGTGGGCCAAGTCAGGTGGAGAACAATTGGGGCAAGGCAAGGGTCAGACTGAATAAACAAATCCGAGTTCATTTTGAGGGTGGTCTGATCAAGTGTTTGGGTGTGTCCGTGCACTGAGAAGAAGTCCTTTAGTTATTATTTGTTAATTATAAGCCTAAAAGAAAAATATAGTAGCACTTGCAATTTATGTTGCAAATGCAAAATCCTATAAACGCCCTACAAGGAACGTTTAAATCTACAAAAGATCCCATTTTTTCTGTCTCTATATGAGCTGGTTTGTCTATTTTTAATGCAACAGTTAACCGCTTAACCCTCAAAACATTTTTGTTTGAAGCTTTTGCTGTGTGACTACTGCACAGAGAAAATTCCGATGTTCTTATCTAAGTTGAAAGTGTTCTTACAAATATAACTACATTTTTGAAGTTGAGAATGTTTTCATTTTGCTCGAATCATATTGAAAACATTGATAACAAAGTGTACTTACTCGGTTTTTAAGAACAAATCTTCTCAATTCAAGAACAATTTACTTGAATATTTTTCTCTGTGTGGGGATTTCCAATGCTCACTTCTCCCTCAGTGTAAAATTCCTGAATCGATGGGGGGGTGCGATACCAAAATGTACTTACACGGTTTATAAGAACAAATGTTCTCAGTTCAAGAACAATGTACTTGAAAACTTCTCTCTGTGTGGGGATTTTCAATGCTCACTTCTGCCTCAGTGTAAAATTCCTGAATCGATGAGTGCGATGCCAAAATGTACTTACTCGGTTTTTAAGAACAAATGTTCTCAGTTCAAGAACATTGTTCTTGAATATTTCTTTCTCTTTGGGGATATCCAATGCTCACTTCTGCCTCAGGGTAAATTTCTGAATCGATGGGCTGCGGTAGAGGTACACCTCTTTGATTGGCTCAATGAGAATTTATGAGCTACAAAGTTGTAAAAGTATCTTTTTCTGAGAAGAGCGTTCTTGCAGCAGCCCCTGAGTGCATTCTCCATGGGGTGGAAAAGCGGGGTAGATAGGGGAAAATGGGAAAATGGGAAAGGGGGATGCCCCTTGCTGGGATCGGGCTCATCAATCATGGCAGTAGCCAGACGAGTCCAAGCCGCACACATCAAACATTTCAATTTGCCGCAAATGTGTTGACAAAACGTTGATACGCCATCGGCATTCGTCGGGTTTTGCGGGGGAATTGGATTGGATTGCATGGGAGGCTGATGCTCCAAGTAACCCCTATACCTTAACCCCTATTCCCATGTCCATCCCCATCACCATCTGGATCCCCATCCTCCAGCACATTAGCAACACGTGTCAAATGCGCAATGCCCTTGTCCTTGTCCTGGCTTTTGGATCCCCATTCCCGCCTTTGGATGCCGCGCTTAATTACACTTTTATAGAGTCGCATCCCCTCCTCATCATTTCCATTTCATTTTCCATTGTGGCAGTCCTTCTCCCGGTTGTCCTGGTTCTTCTGGTTCTCCTGGTTCCTCACCGTCACCATCTCCATTCCATCTCCATCTCCAGGGGTAATTGCAATCCGTTGTCCTTTCCGCCGCCTGAGTTATGACCTGCTATGCAATCGCCCATCCGGATCCCGGGGTCCTTGTTTACCCGGAAAAGCCGGGGGACAGGACAGACCATATGTTTTCCACCGCCTGGAATTTTCCATTTGTTGATCTGTGAATATGTTTTTTAAGCAAATTATGAAAAGCTCCTTTGTAAAGAGCAGATATCCTTTGAACGACTATACGCCGTTTGGGTTCTGAGTGCATAATCCCATCTTATGCAAAAGCCTTTTATAAATATTAACCTTGTTTCCGGTAAAAACATAAACATAATAACACTTTTCCTGTTGTATTGGGAATATTAATTTGCATAAAATTTCCTTAAAGTCTTATGATCATACCAATGTCCTTATATATAATATATACCTAATTATAAATATGATTTGTTATTTAATTTAGTTGAATTTAGTTCATACGTAAATTGCTTATTATTATAGCTTGAGTATTTATTGGCCTTTCAACTTGAAGCCATAATAAAACATGTAATTGCCACATAGAGTACAAAAACTTCGATGGTATCAGCACCTCGTAAGCCTGATATTGCCACAGATCGATTTAATATGATTTGCTTTTGTTTACCTTCCCGTTTTCGCATTGTAATTATACTTTTTGTACAGGTAGTTTTGTTTTTATGCCTTTTC